GGACTGGTAGGGGGCACTAAGAGATTAAGTGACTTGCTCAGCCAGTATGTATTAGAGTTAGGAACTTACAAACACAGATTTTTCTGCCTCCAGGGCCAGTATGTGTCAGAGACAGAACTGACAAACAGGTTTTTCTCCCTCCAAGGCCAGTTCCCTCCAGTATGCTATTCTAATTCATGGTGCATTAACCATGATTACATAGTAATATAATTTATCATTCTTTTAAAACTTCTAAACAGTATCCATAGTTTGTCAAATAGCTACTGTAGAAAATCCTATCTTGCAAAAATAAAATGTTGCAAAGAACAGTAAAATTTGCATCACTTTGATAAACCAGAGAACTCTTTCACCTAGCTAAAACAGTAAGATTTTTAAGTTCAAAGATTTCTTTTTTCAAACCACTATCACAAAACAAATCAATAAATCAGCAAGGATTTATTGAGGGCCTATATGCCAGACATTGTACCAAGTGCTAACCAATGTACAAGCAAAGAAAAAAGCGAATAGTTCCTTACCCTCAAGAAGCCAACTACATTCTACCAGGAGAGACCACCTGTAATGTAGCTCATTAAACCATCTCTTTTTAAAAATTTCACTTCCTCCCTTCATGTCCTCTATGGGAGATCAGTTATAAAGGGAAAATTCATCTTTGTGAGGCCAAATGTGCCAAATTGCCAACGTTATTCACCTGAAATCAGACAAAATAACAGCTCTCATCTGGAACTTCCAATAATTCAGCTAACTTTGTGAAAGCAAATAGAGGACCCTGCCATCTCTCATTGGGAATTGTGCAAATAACAAGAACTCTGAATTTCAGAATGAAGGAAGGAAGGAAAGAACTTATGAGATGTTTACTATATGCAAAGCACTGTACAAATACAAATAAGATACAAATAGAAAAGTTAGGCAGTCTGCTCTCAGAGCTCACATTCTAATGGAGGAGACAACACAAATGGAAGGTTTCAACTGAAAGTCAAATGAAAAGGTTCCATGGTCCTTAGGGTACAGTAGCAAAGCAGATGTTAATATCTCTCCTTTAATTTCATTTGAGTGCCTGACAATAAATCTTTATTGACTGAGGCTGAACCATTTAATAGCACGAAGGACTTTGATGGGTCTTCAGTAGCTGTGGCTATAGCACTTTCAGGAATAGTTGCCAAGCTGCAACTCCACAGGGGTTTCTTCCTAGAATGATAGCAGAGATCGCTGTGCTATAGGGACAGCAATAACTTGAAACTGCTGGATATGTAAGTTCAACTTCAATAACAGCCCCACCCCATACCCTTCACCCCCACCAACATCCTATCCAATGGTACAAAATAAAAACAAAGCGTTGGCTAAGTCTGCTAAGACCAGTTTAGGTGCTTCTTTGTACTGTATGATTCTATATATTTGTGTGGCTATCTATACTTTAATATAGTCATGGAATCTACCCCCAAACATTCAGGAACTACATATGTCAAAAGGAATAATATAAGGGGTTGTAGAAGCAGCCATAGGAAGTGGAAATTTTATAAATGAAGAAAATAATTTTGAATATGAAGATATGAGTTAGAAGCCAGACCACACAACTTCTGTGATCATGAGACTTCAGGTTCCTCATGTGTAAAATTGAGGTACTGGACTAGGTAAAAACTACTCATATTTACATAGTGCTTAAAACACTTAGTGCTTTTCTGTATTGTATGCTAAATACTTTGCATCTGTTGACTCAGCTATACCACTACTAGGCTTATACCTCAAAGAGATGAAAAAGAAAAAGGACCTATGTGTACTAAAATATTTTAGCAGCTCTTTTCGTAGTAGCCAAAAATTGGAAACTAAAGAGATGTCCTATTGGGGAATGCCTGGACAAATAATAATTTCAATGCAATATTATTGTGTTGTAAGAAATGATGAAATGGACAGTTTCAGAGAAACCTGGGAAGACTTCAAGAACTGACGTAGAGCTTAGTAGAACTAGGAGAACAATGTATGGGACATTATGGAGAAAAACAACTTTGAAATACTTAGGATTCTGATTGTTGCAATCACAAACTATGAGCCCATAGGACTAAAGATGAAACATATCACTCATCTCCTGTCAAAGAGATGATGAATTTAAATACAGGGAAACATACATTTTCAGGCATGGCCAATGTGGGAATTTATTTTTGAGTAGATTTATGCATGCTTATGATGAGATTTTTTTCCCCCTTTTTTTGGGGGGAGAGGGGGTTGCTGAACAGGAAGGGTAGACAGCTTGAAAGAGATATAAATGCATGTAAAAATAAATGAATAAATTTCTTCTAAAAATAAGATGGTGCAGAAGACAGAGTGCCTGTCCTAGAGTCAGGAAGACATCTTCCTGAGTTTAAATCTGGCCTCAGACACTTACTAGCTGTGTGACCCTGGACAAGTCACTTAACCCTGTTTGCCTCAGATTCCTCAACTATAAAAATGAGCTGGAGAAGGAAATGGCAAACCACTCCAGTATCTTTGCCAAGAAAACCTCAAATAGGGTCACAAAGAGTCAGACAGACTGAACAATTAAATACTTTTCTTACTTCCACTTTTGATGTGGTAAGTACAAAAGTTAGCCCATTTTACAGATGAGTAAATTGAACTTTGGAAAGGTAGAGTAAGCAACCCAAGGACAAAACGACCTAATTTTAGCTCTAAATCCTCTGATCTGAGCAGTCAGTAAGTATCCATGTTCAGTAACTGATACTGTATTATAGGCTTCTGTATTACATTCTTAGTTTAATCCTTTCACTCAACTAGGTATAGAGTAAGTGCTCAACACAAAAGTAATTGAACATACAGTACAATTCAATAAGCATTTGTTTACTTATCAACCTTTTGGCCCATGCAATCTGCTAGGCTCTTAGTATGCAAAGTCAAAAATGAAAAGTAAGTCCCTGTTCTCTCCTTAGCTTTCACAGCAACACCACAAAGAAAACAGGTAGCAGCTACTATCTCCTCCCCCCCCACAAAAAAATATATATGTATATATATATGTATATATGTGTATATACATACATACAGAGAGAGAGAGAGAGAGAGAGAGAGAGAGAGAAGAGAGAGAGAGAGAGAGAGAGAGAGAAGAGAGAGAGAGAAGAGAGAGAGAGAGAGAGAGAGAGAGAGAAAACAAGTTTCATTAATAAAGCTTAATTTCAAGGAAATGAAATGTACTTAGCAGAAACCAGCACCTACAAAATACGGGAACATATAACAGCAAAAAAAAAATCAATCATTCAATAAAAGAATAAAATGAAGTCTCAACATCATAAAAAAAGAATACTTGTTTCATTGCCACATGGGGAAATAAGCCTTTATTTGAAAAAAATTAAGTTTTTTAAAATTACTTTTTTTAACACGACTGTTATGGAAATGCTTTCCATGACTACACATGTATAACCTATATAAAATTGCTTGCCTTCTCAATGAAGGGGTGGGGTGGGGAGGGAGGAAAGGACAGAATCTAGAACTCCAAGTTTTGAAAATTAATGTCAAAAAATTGTTTTTACATGTAACTGGGGGAAAATAAAAATACTACATTAAAAGATACTTCTTTAAGTATATGATGCCGTGCAATATCTGGCGTAATGGCCAGATGGGATGGGGTCTGATAACAGAAAGGAGATTTTCTCATACAGACTGCACATACTCGAGGGATGATTTCACGCATACCACAAAAGTAGCGTGTCACCTTAACCATTTTCCTTTTCTGTCACCCTGGCTAAGAAAGCCAAGCCTTTCCTATCAGCTGACAACCTCCGCTCCCGTGACGGCCTCTGACGTCATATCCGGGCAGAAGCTGGACAGCTGAGAGCGCAGGCGCTCTGTGCCCGGAAACAAGATGGCTGCGACTAGGACGGGGACCTCTTCGTGGAGGTGTGCTTGGTGGCCTTAGTCTTGCCCCGCCCCATCGGGATCGCAGCGAGCTCAGCATGAGGCCCGTTAGCCGCCGCACTTTGAACTTCGTTTATTCGGTGGTAAGTTCGGGGCAGAGAGAACTTGAGGCACCCTCGGCCTTCAGGACGTAAGCTCCTTGAGGACACTTTTTTCCTTGTTTGCATTCTCAGCGCCCAAGACGGTGGCCGAGGCGTAGCAAACGCCTAATAATTTCTTGTTGCGTGGGCGCCTCGGTGGCGTCCACGAGCGTCTGATTCCCCTCTCCCCACACTTTTTTTTTTTGAACCTGACCCAGTTTCAAGGGTAGCATGCCCCAGGCGAGCTCTAGGCCCTGACCCGTAAAGCAGCTTGCCTGGGGCCACAAGGCGGTCTCCGCCCCCCTCCTCCCCGGTAACTTCCCTCTCTCTCCTGTAGCTGCTGCTGGCCATAGTTTTCCTCTCTTGGGGGTTCGTGATCTACGCGTGCACGGTGACGTCGCGGTCCATGCTGGGGAAGACATATCCAAACGTAATATTCACTTTATGGGACTGAAGGAATATAACTGGCATTCGACATCATCCTTATCGGGCGCCTTATTTGGGACATTATTTAGTTTAATAAATTATGTAATGGAACATTTTGTTTTCATTGTTGGGGGCTGGGGAGAGGGAAGAATGGCGTCTGGACGGGACACACAAACATTTCTTCTCAGGATCCACCCTCACCACCTTAAAACTGGAGGGTGATGACAAAACAACTGAAATTCCATTTCTGCTTAAATCACCTTCAAGTGTTACAGAACATGAAACTCCAGTCTATGATTTCAGAAAGTTAAGCTGGTAGCAGGTATTCAAAGAAAATACTGAGCAGCTGTTATACCCAACAAGTAAAAAAGTTTTAAAATGTGTGGTTATTTCTGCTTTGCAATACTCCAGTCTTCTCAATGTCAAAATAGGCAACAAGGGACCATTCTTTTACACTGTTTAGTTTCTACTCCACAATTCAAAAAGACCTAGGCCCTGGTAAGGAGGGTATGAAAGCAATTTTTTTGAAGAGTAAACTTTATTAAGTTATTTCTACAGAAAATATTTTCTGGTACAGAAACAAAAGTTGGATTTACAAGCTTTTGGAATTTTAAGATCATTTTTAATGATAATCATGTATATCACAAACTTTTCATTGGTGGAATCACTTCTCCAGTCTCCAGAATTTTATCACCCTATTAAAAAAAGATCACAACAAACAGTTTACCCAATTCTATTTACTTAGAAATGTACAAAGTAAAGCAAGATATTTATTGAAATATTTCGACTTGAGAAAAATTCAAAGTAGCAGGTACCTTGCACAATTTTAGTCCTGAATTGCATGGTAGTGGTGAGTTGGTGAAATGTACTGAGATCATAGGATCATAAATTTAGGGATGGAAAGGGATTATAAAAGTAATATACATATCCTTTTATGGATGAGGAAAACAAGACTAGAGAGATTAAGTGACTTACCACTATTTAAGACGATAGGTCTAAATCTGAACTCCGTTTCTGAATCCAGCAGGGTTTTTTTTTAACACCCTCAGAATCATGTATACAAAAGTATTTCCCATCGTTAACATAATTTATGTATAATTTCCAAGTTTGCCATATTTTTACCAAAGTTTTGATCCATTTGTTTGGCTTGTTTATTATTCAAAATTGACAGTGTTATTAGTGGATGATTTTAAATAAACATCAAGTTTCTGAAGGTACAGTTTTAGGATTTATGTCCTGTTTTTTCCTCTAGTTCCTACACATACACACATACGCAACATACATATACATATATATGTATGTATATATATGCATATACGTATGTGTATATATACATATATACATATGTGTATACACACACACACACACACACACACACAGATATATAAAATGGAAAAGAGGTATTTTGCTTGGGAACGACAACACAAAAGGCCCATTGCATTTTTCTCCCCAATCATTTACATAGCTCCAAAACATTTTTTCCACCTGTACATCCCAAGATAGGAGAGCAGGAGTTGAAAGCCTTAAGAGACTGCTATATTTCACATTGGGCAGCTAGGTGGTATGAGTGCCATGCCTGGAGTCAGGAAGACTCATCTTCCTGAGTTCAAATCTGGCCTCAGATACTTTCTAGCTGTGTGACCCTGGGCAAGTCACTTCACCCTGTTTGCCTCAGTTGCCTCATCTACAAAATGAACTGGAGAAGGAAATGGCAAACCACTCCACTATCTTTGCCAAGAAAACCCCACAGACAGTATGGTCCACAGGGTCACGAAGAGTGAGACACTACTCAACAATGACCAAAATCAAGCTCAGGTTTTCCTGACTCCATTGAGCCTGATTCTTTCACTAATTCTGTGATTTGGGTAAGTATATAGTGGGAAAATGCTGAATTTGAAGTCTAAGGACCTGGGTTAGATAGGATCCCAGCTTAGTCCAGACTTGCATGACCTTTTGACAAGCCTTTTTGGCATTGTTCCCTCATCTGTAAGATGTTTTGAATCCAACTTCTGAGGTCACTTTCACTTTTAGCTCTAACCTATAATCCTAAATCAATTTCACCTTGAGCTTGTTTCTCTAAACCATAAAAGAAGTTAGGCTAAATGCTATTTAATGTTCTTTCCAGCTCTAATGTTCTGTTTCTTACTAAGTACTCTGGGATACAGACAGTCCAATCATAAGACTCAGGTTTTTTCCCCCAAGAATTTAACCCTTTTGTGATTCCCCTTACAGCTAGCACCTGCCCTCTTGTTAATCTCCAATTTATCCTGTATATAACTTGTTTGTACATAAGCTGTTTTCATGGTGTAGGCCTCCCAGCCCCGCCCCCATTAGACTGTGATCTCCTTAAGAGCAGGGAATGTCTCCTTGCCTTTCTTAATACCCTCAGTGCTTAGCACAGTGCTTAATAAAAGAATCAGATAACGCTAGATGGCTAGAGTTTACCAAAAAAGTGCAAGACTTGTCAACTTACTGAAGTGACAAAGACAGTGATAGGTGTTGAAGAAGAGATCATTCTCAGGAAGCTTCATAAAAGAGGGAATTGGTCTAGGCTTTGAATAATAAAGGTGACTATGAAATGTAGTACAATAATAGCTTACTTTAAGCATTTTAAAGTTTGCAAAGTGTTTTCCAAGTATCTCTTTTGGTGCACACAACAACCCTGCAAGTAGTTAAAGTTCCACTGTAACAGGTGAGAACACTGAATTTCAAAGAAATAAAGTGACTTGCCCAAAGTCTCAAAGCTAATTAAGTTCTAGAGGCAAAATCCAGCATGATTAACAGCCCCAGGCAGTTTCTAAGAATAGACAGGACTGAGATAAGCCAGGAGGAGGTAGAAGTAAACTTAACCAGGCTTAGTGAGGAGTCAGAGCAAAGGTTTGAGCTCTGAGTGTGTTCTGGGGTTAGGGAACATGTGTAATAGTAGTGTTTATTTTGCAAATACTAGATTTACCATGCATGTGCATGAATTTTATAGACTCCTGTTAATTAAATGATTAAAGAATTGGCAAATTTGACAACCATTTTCTGATGGTTCATGAGAATAAAAGGCACCTTGTTTAGGACATTATTTAGCTTAATAAAACCTGTAATGGAAGATCTTGTTTTCATGGAGGGGGTGGGGGCAGTAAAGGGAAGGGCTTAGATAGGACACACAAACATTTCTCTCTGGACCACCCTCACCAACTCAAAACTGGAAGTGATGACAAAGCATCTGAAATTCCATTTCTGCTTAAGTCATCTTCAAGTATTACAGAACATGAGATTCTAATATGTGGTTTCAGACATTTAAGCTGGTATTAGGTATACAAGTAAAATACTAAGCATTTGTTATACCCAACAAGTAAAAAGATTTTAAATGACTGATTATTTTTGCTTTGCAATACTCCAGTCTTCTCAATTTCAAATTAGGCAACAAGAGACTGTTCTTTTTTCTGGTTTAGTTTCTACTCCATAATTCAAAACGGCCAAAATATGGAGAACATTAAATGATAAACTAAAGGCCTATACCTAGGCATCTGAAATAAAGGAATGGCAGGGTGGCAACACAGTTGGGTGGAAAGAGGACTTGACTTGGAGTCAGGAGATCCGAGTTTAAATCCCAGTTATAACCCAGTTTAAAGCCCAAGCCTTGGGCAAATCACTTAACCTAAGCCAATTTTCTTACCTGTAAAAATGGGGATATTATTTGCATTATAAAGCATTTTGTGAGTTTCATGTTTTACATAAATGGATTTATTATTTTGCTCAAAGTAATGTTTTAGGAAGATTAATCTGTAACGCACATAATGCTTGCTGACTGACTAAATACTAACTTTGCTTTTATGAATACATAATTCACTACCTGTGATTTCATCTTTCTACCAATGACTATGACAAGGACTATGACTCCTCCACATTTTAGCAGATGATCTGAGTTTCTGTGACCAAAAAACAAACACCGCCCCCCCCCCAAAAAAAACCTCAAAATCTGGTGGCTGACCATTCATCATTTAGTTAGGCTAATCCTAAAATGACAGTCCATTGGGAGGTCCCTATTCAAAATAGTTTCAGTCTGATGGGACCCAACCAGGGCTTGTACTCTGCTTTGCCAGTAAGAACTGAATGAGGGTCCAAGAGACAAATTTTATGAATCCAAAAAGATGACACTAAATTACCATAATGCTATATTCTATGTAATGCTATATGAACAACTAAAGTCAGAATTTGAAAATGAGGTCATTAGTAAAAAGAAACGATAAGTGGCTACTAGGAATGATCCAGGGATTAGAACTGGAGGTGCTGGTCCATGTCAGCTGAGGCCACCATGCTAATTAAGAAGATAAACTCAAACTACTCTAGGTGATTCAGGAGTTGTGCCAAAGAATTCTGCATCTTTTGGACGTAGTGCCCAGGGAGCATTAGCATCTGGGTAGATTAATTGAAGGCAGCATGCTGCCTCTTCCTACCCCTATAGAAAGGTAATTGCCAGTGACAAATTACAGGAAACTAAAATTCCCCAAAACAAACTTAACACTGCCCAAAGTCACATAGCATGTTACTTTTCTATCCAGACTGCCCACTCCAACCATTACTACCAAGCAATGCTTCCATTTTCTACCTTTTCTTTTACAATACATAAAGCAACATTTGGATAGCAAGGGGTAAAACATTAGATGATGGTAGGGGAACATGAAATAAAAAAGACTAAAAGAAAAAAATTCAGGAAAATAAGTTGAAAAGACTTACTGGAAATATTTTGGGCTTCTTTTCAACGATGCCATATGGTCTTGTCTGCAACAAAAATGAGGTTATGTTAATTTATTTTGATACTTCCTTCTAAAACTACAGAATAACATTGTCAATAAGCACTTATTTAGTATATCTACCTGTCCAATTATTTAAATTCTTTGTTATAGGTATTTAAAACATAAATGGCTCTTCCACCTTCAGAAGTTAAGAACATTGTTATGCAACCATTATTTTAGGGAAATAAACAGTTTATAAGGTCATGTGGACATAGAAATATAAAAATAACCTTTACATTCACAAGTTGCAAATATCTTAAAGCATATTTTCTTCCAAGAAATAAAATGCCTAAAAATTTTCTCCCAGTTTTAAAAATCACTTTCTACTTATCTAAAATGTTACTTGAAAACATACCAGTATTTCTCAGTCTATGAGCCAGGAACAGAGCTAAACCAAATTAACTTTTATTACACAGAAAAGCAAAATCATTTAAGAATTCTGAAAAGATAATCATCTGCATTAAACCTCTGGATAAAATAACTACTGCACTACCATTCTCCCATTATCTTCAGACATATAAAGACCTTGAGACCACTTCATTCAATTTATAAGACTTTCCCTTTCTTGGATAGAAGCAACTGGAGATAAAAATTTGCCTAAAGCACCCTAAGTTATGGTATTACCTATCCAAAATGGAAACATAATACAGATATGGGATTTACAACTTATTCATTTGACATGGATGTTCAGAAATAATACACTTAAAATGGTTATTTATGTAGGTATATTATTGGGTCTTGATCAGTTGTTCTCAAAAAGCATGGTTTTCTTTGCTGTACAGAATTATGACATACTAAACATTTAATTTGGCAGCACTATGGGTGAGGTGGCTCATGTATAAAGTATTTTTGTTGACTTTTTTTGTGAATTTGAGCTCTGATGTGTTCCAAGGTAAGTGCATATGTGTAATAACAGTATTGTTTATTTTGCAAATTCTGTATGTTACCATACATGTGCTTGCTTATTTAAAAAAAAGTTAGGAGGTAGTAAGAAGAGAGAGAAAGGAAAAATGGAGAAAAAAAATGCAGAGAACAGAAAGCTGCTGAACTTAGAATCAAGAAGACCTGTCTCTAAATACATAATGGCTGTGACCTCTCACAAATCATTTAACCTATCAGTGCTCTAAGCAGCTTTCTAAAAAAACTAAATTGAAGAGAGGATACAATATGCATGGAGTAATAAAACTTATATTAAACAAAACCATTTATAAATTTTATTTTATCTGCAATAACAAATCCAACATATTATAGCATATTTTGTGAAACTTGTGACACATCCTTTGTGAACCACTGACCTAGATGACAAAGACATTTTAGTACTTTAAGAACACTGTAAGAGTCAGAAATCCTGGAATCTACTCCTGATTAACCCATGTGACTCTCAACAAGTCACTTAATCTTTATAGGTCTTTTTTTCTCATCTGTAAAATCAGGTTCTACTTCCATCTCCTTATGAGTTAAAAGTTATAGGAAAAAAGAGAAGTAATTGAGTTGAATAAGGAGAAGGAAAACATTTGGTGGTTTGAAGGGCAATTATATTTAGCGAAGAAAAATTTGGGAGAAATTGAGGAAAATCTGGAGTAAAACCTCCAGGTCCAGATTATATAAGTTAAACTTAAAAGAGAAAAAAAGAGGGTCACTAGTTTTTACATAACATATGATTTAAGTAAGTTATTTCAGGGAATCCTGTAGCCTCAAAGAATCAATCCTTTGTTCACTCCATGTAGGTTGGATATAAAATACTTTTTTACTCCTAAGTAAGTCATTAAACCTGTCTCCCTCATTTTCCTCATCTGTAAAATGGGGAAAATAACTACCTAACTCCCATGGTGGTTGTGAGGCTCAAATGAGATAATACTTGTGAAGCGCTTAGCATACTACCTGACACGTAGAAAACACTAATGTTTGTGGTCTACCCGCCCATCCCTCGCTTCCCCATGATACAGAATTCTGGTTCTACCTACATGCTACCCACAACACTGAACAACAAATCAAGTGTCACATTAATAAATCGTTTTGTGCATTAAAAAAAAAAGAATCTAAGGAGGAATGGTGAGCAAGAACTTGAAGAGAAGTGCTCAAAGAGAAGGTAAAGAATATACAGTAGGCAAAACAAGAAAGAAAAGGTAAATGAAACAAATTGGTGCATAAAGCAATTTGATAGAGAGGATTAAGGAGTAAGGCAAAGTTGGTGAAAGAAAGGAGCCTGGGAAAAGGAGAGAGAAGGTAGAGAGTGGCTCTGGGGTTGTTGAGACTAAAAATATAAATTGCTCGTATAGTCCAGGAGTTTTAAGGTAGTAGTTTAGAGCTACACATAGGTAGCTCAAAAAACAAGGCTTTAAAAAATTGAAACCAGTAGGGTAGTAGGAAGAATTTTGCAATGATATGCTTTGAGTGCATGGTGTTTGTTATTCTGCCATGCCAACTGACTATATGTTTCAAATGTAGACTTGTCCTTCCTCTGGAAAGGAAGACCTAGAACAGACTCAAAGTTATAAGAACAAAAAAGTGTTTCTTTTTTTAAAAAATGAAAATAGGGCTTCAACTAAAAAAAAAGAAAAGAAAAAGAAGATGTCTGAAGTAGAAGAGGGGAAATTTACCCTTATCAAGAGGCTAAGGAATAGAAGAATTAAACACAGAGAAAGAAAAGAATCAATTTACATTTAGAACTAAAAACATGAGGCTTTTCCTTAAGAGTTGGAAAACTAGATGTTTTGAGGAGGAAGATGCTTGTTCTCCAAGGAATGAAACAGTAGAGCTATAAAAAAGCTTTTAGGTTCAAGATCATCATAAATGTTAAAGGAAGAACAGAAGAGTAACAATGGTGGTTATTCTTCTGGTCCAAGGATTATCAAAAGGGATGACTAAAAAAAAACAAAAAACAAAAAATAGATAATTACTAATTACTTCTTATTCATATGGATACATGCTATTGCCAAAAAGAAACTAAAAGTATTGTCTCAAACTACAAAATCTTGAACAAGAAACTAAAGAGCATAGTGACCCATGCTGTGTATTCCATTGCTCTCCTTAAATAATGAGGAGAAAAACTCATCTGGATGGTACTAAGAACATAGTATACAGAATGGAATTTTGGACTACGGCTCAAAATGCAGGGATGACAAACTCCTACCCAGGGATGAAGTACACCTAATGAAGGCCTGCAAAAGTTTATTTCCTGGGCGTCTTGTAAATCTAAGCAAAGGGGTTTAAAACTAAGAAAAAAAAAAGATAGCTGAGGGACAAAACCATCATTGATAACACAGAAACAGGAGCTCTAGTGAATGAAGAACAGTGGTTGAGACACACCTGGAAGTTCAAAGAAGAACAAAATCCAAGATAGGAACCAGTAGTAAAACCCATGGTCTTATATATGTGTGTGTGTGTGTGTGTGTGTGTGTGTGTGTGTGTGTGTGTGTGTGTGTGTGTGTGTGTGTATATATATATATATATATAAGGAACAAAGAGAAATGAAAGTATGAACTTCTAAAGAGAGGAAAATTGGCTTTGTGGACAAAGATGGTGGTTGAATTCCTAGAGTTTGCTGGGATCATCACTGAGAGAGAGAGAAGAGCTCAGGACAGAGCCTTGGAGTATACTCAAATAGAAGGAGTGGGACATAGGTCCTGGGCAGGGAGTAGGGAGATGGATCCTGCTGATCCTGAAAAGAGACTGGGAAGAATCTGTCAGAAAACAACCACTGCCCGAGTGTATCACAAAAAGCCAAGAAGGCAAGAACATTCAGAGGGATGATGTAGGGACTCTTTAATATGTAAACTTCTATTTTTGCATTTTTGCAGATTAGCTTTACAGTCTTCATTTCCTTCTAACCCTGAAGAAGTACAATCAACAAGATCTGGCAAGCAATAGGCTCAGAGACGAGTTAAGGAGTTAAATGAGACTGAGGAGTTAAGGAGAAGTCTTAGTTGTAGAGCATGGGTGACTGGAAGAGTGGCTGTATCCCCATCAGAAACAGGAAAATTAAAAGAAGAGACAGGCTCAGGGAGGAAGACGATTTATGATTTGGACATGTGAGCTGAGCCTGTGGGATATCCAGGTGGAGATGTCAAGCAGGTAGCTGAAGATATCAGGCTGGATTGTTGTTTGTTGTAGGATTGTTGCTGTTCCTTGTTGAAGAGGACCATGACATAATGAAGGTGATGCCATGACTCTCAAGTGAAATGGACTGCAGTGAGGAGGGCTTTGCAGAGTCATCAGCCTCACTTTCTCCCCCAGAGCCATGTGGGTTCAGTGGCAAGATATAGATTAAGATGACTGGAGATGGCCCCAGGTGAGTAAGATAATGAATTAATCCAAGAAGTGTAAAAAGACTGCCTCAAAATGAACTCAAGAGAACATGGGAAGGAAAGCATTTATATAGCACTTACAATATGTCAGAGATTGTGCTAAGCATTTGACAAATTATCTCATCTTATCCTCAGAATCCTGGGAGGTAGGTGCTATTAATATCCTCATTTTACAATTGAGAAAACTGAGGTAAACAGAGAATAGGTGATTTGCCCAGGGTCACACATTAGTAAATGTCTGAGGCCAGATTTGAACTCAGGTCTTCCAGGCTCTAGGCCCAGCATTATCTATCCATTGCACCTCCTAGCTGGCTCTGAGGAAAGAGGGCTGGATTCGTGATATCCGGGAGTCCTTCGCACAACCACCCTAGTTCAGGTCAACATAACCGCTTACATATTACTTTAGCCTTTTCATTACTGTGCTTAGTCTCATCTTCCAGAAAACTGCCAAACTGATATTCCTGAAGCATGAGGGTGACCATGTCACTATTCTCTGCTCAAGGTGCTTTAGTGGCTCCCCATTGCCTTTAGTGCCAAATTCTTCTGGTTGTTCACAATCTGGCTCCAGCATATCTCTCCAGAACGACTAGGTATTATTCTTTCATGCCCTGCTTCAGCTCCATGTACCTATTTGCAGCTCCCAATTATAAGCTTGACTCTTCTGCCTCCCTGGCTGCATGTCCCTGCCCTCTAGATAATTCTTTGTTCATTTTGTACACATCCTGTCTTTACTTATCTGTGAACACATTTTATTTCCCCAGCAGAAGGTAAGCTCCTTGAGGGCAGAAATGTTTTCATTTTTGCCTCTGAATACCCAGCACCTACCACAATGCCTGCACAGATTATGTGTTTAATAAATGCTAGTTGACTAATTAACTCATTTTCCTCCTTCTTGTACTGCCAGACCCCTTGCCCCTAGGCTTCAAATCTAAGGCAAATACTATTAGTTATAGAGTTCAACTAATTTGTGCATTTCATTGGCTGCTCTAGGACCAACCCCATCTCATCCCCACCCCACCTCCACATTATTTCTCTAATAAAATGCATTCCAAATAATCAAATTCAAAGTAAGGAGTCTTGGGGACACTGACCCTTCAGTTTTTAAGTTGGAAATTACAAAGTAAAGCAATTTGATGTACACCTGGATAACAGTTAGCTTTTCATTATTTTACAACAAAATAAATGCATAATCCCAAACAATATTTACTTCAAATACTTACTTGTACATGGTACTTGACATAATAGTGAATAATCCAGGCTGGTATAAGGATATTAGCAAAAACAGACATTCCACTTCGGCAGGCCTTAAAAGCCTGGAAATAAACAAAAGAAGAGAATGTTTGGAGTACACATACCAACTAAATTCACCGTAATAATATTATCTGTACATATAAGCTGTGTGTTTTCTAAACCTCTATAGGACGTTTACACAATTTTTTTTTCAAAAAACCCTGGCCTACAATCCCTACTGAGGGCAGGACCTGCTGAGGGAGAATTATACACATTACAAAGCAAGTCTGGCATTAAGGCAAAGGGCTTTTTGTAAGAATAACAGAGTAAGACTTCTAAAGAAATATGTTAGGCATATTTTACCACACAACCTGGACAAAGTCTAAGATTTTACGTATGTATCATGAAAGAGTTTTGTTCAATAGAAATCTCCAAGTCAAGTTAACCCCATGGAGTCATCAATTTCCAATCCCAAATGTACAGTGAGTTAAGCTTCATTTATCCTATGCTTCTAAACATAAATGAAATAACACTGAATCTACAAACTGAGAAAACCATTTTCTCTGGGGTTGAGCAAAAATCAGCAGCAAGTGACTTCTGAGGTCTGTAGCTGCCTTCATAAACCTACTGAACCCAAAATCATTCCTGAGAGGACTAACCAGGAAGCCAGTGATGGGGAAACAAACAGGGAATATGGTATAGTGGAGGGTTAATTAACATCTGTATAATCAACATGTAGCTTGCAAATATAAAAGAACAGATGTAAGGTTTGCCTGGACACCTTGACAAAGTTTTAATAAAGTATAATGATATCTTCAATATAAAAGGTATTGAAGAAGAAAATGTGAAAGTGAGAGACTAGTGTCTGGGAGGTAAAGGGGTGAAATTAAACAAATTTTTTTTGGGGGGGGGACAGGGTGTGAGCAGAATGGTGCAATGTAAGGAGTGGTGAATCTTCAGTCAGAAGACTTGGGGTCAAATTCTGGCTTTGCCATTTACTACTTGTCTGACCAAAGAACAATTCATTTTTTACCTCTCCAGCCCACAGTTTTCTCATCTGTAGAATGAGACCATAAAGCAAAATACCTGATAAATTGCTGACTTGCTTGATCTCTCAAATTTATCCCAATTTTTGCAATAACTTAATCTAACAAAAAGTTAAAATCATAAGTGAAATAATAAAATCCAAACTATTTAGCTTGTTTTTAAGGCTACATATTTCATCTTTAACAAAATAACAGTAATGCTATATTTACTTCTATGTCATATTCCAAAGTGAGCAATTAGACGGGGAAGATGTGAGACAAAGAGTCACTAATAAGTCATGACAGAGTAGGTCATTTAGAGTCCCATCTTTGCTGCCTACTAGATCTGTAAATTACCTAACTCAAATTAGGTAAGACAGCTGGATGGTGTAGTTAATAGAGTACTAGGCCTCAAGTAAGGAAGCTTTGAGTTCAACATGGGCTTCAGATACTTGCTAGCTATGTTATCCTGGGCAAGTCTTAACTTCTGTCCTTCTCAATTTCCTCAACTGTAAAGTGGAGATAACAATAGCTCCTACCTGGAAGGGTTGTGAGGATCAAATGAGATAAAGCACTTTGCACAGTGCTTGGCACATAATAGGTGCACTTAGAGTGCCAGGTACACATAATAAGCACTATACAAATGTTTATTCCCTTTCATTCATGACTGTTAACCGCTAAGCCTGAAATGCCTCCCCACTATCTATTTTAAAATTGAATTTAATAAATTTTAAAAAAGGGACTGAAAATAGGTAATCTCTTAAAGTCAATAAGGCTGAAACACGTTATCATAGCTGCAGTGAAGCCCCTTGAGCATAGGGGTTGTTTTTGCCTTTCTTTGTATCCCCAATGTTTAGCATGGTGCCTGGTACAGAGTAGGGGCTTAATAAATATTTGTTGACTTGACTTGGACATTAATTATCATTCAACATATTTAGATGCTGAAATAAATATTAAATCCTCACCATAATGACAGTTCTTAAGATATTTTGATACTTTGTTTTTACATTACATTTATAGATCACTCACACTTTTGAGAGATTTGTGACAAAATAAAACTGTCAAGAAAGCATACACATTTCACATCTGCAGGAATCCCTCCCACCATTTTTTAAAAAATTAACAAATCTTTTTTCTCTCTCCCTACCCCAGTGACAAAAAAAATTCTTAAAACATATATGCATGCATAGTCAAGCAAAACAAATTCCCTCAATGGCTGCACACAAAAATGTTTATCTCATTTTATTCCCTAAATTTATCAGCTCTCTGTCATGGACAGCATGTTTCAGCATCAGTCTTCTGAAATCATGAATGGCCATTGTATTGATCATAGATCTTACAGCTTTCAAAGTTATATTTTTACACTGTTTCTACTGTATAAACTATTTTCCTGGTACTGCTCATTTCATTCCTCATCAGTTTACACAAGTCCTCAAAATTGTTCATTTTTATAATACTAATGTCAGAGTATAAACTGTTCTTCTGGTTCTGCTTACTTCACTCTGTATCAGTTCACAGAAGTCTTTGCTTTCTTTCTGAAATCACCTATTGCCTTATTTCTTGCAGCACAATAATACTCCATCACATTCCTTTATCACAACTTGTGTAGTCATTCCTCAATTGATGGGCACACCTTTAATTTCCAGTTCTTTGCCTCCTCAAAAAAAGCTACTTTAATTTATTTTTTAAATAAAAGGCTTTCCTCAAGTGTTAGCTGACTTACCTCTTTTAAGTATAGGCCTAGCAGTGGCATAGTGGGGTTTATTTTTTTTTAAGTTTATCAACTTTTCCTGTATAATTCCACATTGTTTTCCAGAATGTTGTACCAATTCACAGGTCCAAAGTCCTTCAACATTTATTATTTTCCTTTTTTGTTATCTCTGTTACTCTGATGAGTATGAGGTGGAATCTCAGAGCTGCTTTAATTTCCATTTTTCTAATTAGTAGTGATTTGGGGCATTTTTTCATATGGCTGGATTTCTCCCCTTAAGAAATACCTGTTCATATCCTTAGACCATTTATCAAATGGGGAATGATTCTTTTTCATATAAATTTGAATCAGTTCCTTAAATATTCTGGTTTATATGCTGTTAATTGTTTTAATGTATAAAAATCAGTCTCCCCCTGTATTTAGGGTCTGGTGCCAAGACAAGTAGTCCTGGTCCTGATTTGTTTTGCAATTGGTATGTATTGCTTAATAAATCAATATGCTCAGAAGTTTGAACCTTTGTTTCCTCAGTTATTTCAGATTTTACCTGTCACATAAGACTTTCATCAGAAAAACTTATTGTAAAGGTTTTTTTCCTAGATACTTGTTTCCTTTTTATTCTTAACTTCATTAGATTCATTTGTGCAAAAACTTTTAAATTAAATCAAAATGATCTGTTTTATCTTCTGTGACAGGATGGGCATTTTTAAGTACCTACAATGGGCTGAAGTGTTTTATGAATATCTCATTTGATGATCTCTATTCTGTGATCCTCTACTCCTTGTTGGGTCATGAACTTTTCTCCTATCCATAGATATAATAGGTAATTTATTCTATATTTCTCTAATTTGTTTACAATGTGACTTTTATATCTAGCTGTGACATACCCATTTGGAGCTTATCTTGGTAGGATGTTGACGTGCCTATCTAAATCTAATTTCTTCCATACTGCTGTCCAATTTTGCCAGCAGTTTTTATCAAATAGTGAGCAGCTTTGTATTTATCAAATTGTAAGGTATTTCCCTTATCTCGTATACCCAATCTGCTCCACTGATTGGTATTTCTTAACTGGTACCAAATTATTTTAATAATAACTGCTTTGTAGTATAGTATGAAATCTGGCCCTCTAGGCCTTCTGTTCCCATTTCTTTTCATTATTTCTCTTGAGATTAGTGACCTTTTTTTTCCTCTCCATATGAATTCTATTATTTTTTCTAGTTTATAAAGTAATCCTTTGATACTTGATTGGTATAGCATTGAATAAGTATAAATTAATTCAGCTGTAGTATTGTCATTTTTTATATTGGCTCATCCCATCTATAAGCAATTAGTATTTTTCCAATTATTTATGTCTTTATCTCGTAAACAGTTGCTTGTAGTTCTATTCACATAGTTCTTCTGTATATATCTTGAAAGGTTGACTCAAGTATTTTACACAATCTGTAGTAATGCTGAATGGAATTTCTCTTATCTCTTCTTGCTAGGTTTTAATGGCATATAGAAATGCTGATGATTTTTATGGATTTATTTTATATCCTTCAAGTTTACTGAATTTGAATTTTTTTTTTTAGTCTTTAGGGTTCTTTTAAGTACATTATCATATCATCTGCAAAAAGGAATAACTTTGTTTCTTTTTTATGAGGATTTCCTCAATTTTGTTCTTATCTTATTCTACATCCAGCATTTCTACTGCTGTGCTAAATAGAAGAGGTGACAATGGTTGCTGTTGTTCATCCTTCCTTCTCAAAGAGGACCAAAGAGGACTTTTGCATGAATTAGATGAGTGGGACAGAGCTCCAGGAAGGTGAGCTGCACACTCTCCTCCAAAGTGTTCAAAGTCCAGTGTTGAGACAAAGGTCAAGATAACTGGGGATGGCTCAGGATGCAGTGGGTGACCTTGGCCTTTCTAAATTAAGGCCAATGACACCCCTCTATTACCAGGTTGCATGCCCCTGCTAATAAAGGATATCTCCCTCAGATAATTGCCTCTGCATGCCCCTGCTAATAAAGGATATCTCACTCAGATAATTGCCTCTGCTTGCCCATAGATATTTTAAGCTAGAAGGGACTTCAGAGATCACCTAATCCAAACTTACCTTCTTTCATTTTGGTTTAAATTAGCAAACTAAAACCCAAAGAAGTTAGATGACTTCCCAAGGTCACTCAGCTAATTAGCAGTAGAATGGTGACTAGGTCAAGTTTTCAACATTAATTTGGTGACAATGGACATTAGTGACAGCTCACAGACTGTTCTGTAGGATGGCAATCTTCAACCAATGGCATTCAAATTTTACTTGTTGTCAGGACTAGGTAAAGCAAAGGCTGAGTTAGGGCATCTTAGAGGGAGCCCTAGAGAGCTCTGCCTCCTTTATTCTAACATAATAATTAAGTCAAGACACTGCTTTTCAAAAACCATACCACATTGTATATAGTCTTTAAAACAAAAGGGTGGGGGGGGAGGACCTTTACATTTTTGGAAATCAGAAAGGTGAATGAATAGGTTGTCTTGTCCAGAAAAAAAAATAAGGCCACACATGTAAGGGAAGAGATAGAAGCAGTGTAGTAGCAAGGGAGAGGGAATACAGGGGAAAAGTATTCTCACAATATGTGATAATCAGTTTTGAATAGTGGCTCAGGGGAGACTGTTTTGGGAGACTGTCTTTTCTAACACTACTAATAATTTTATATTTACACAACCCTTCAGGTTTTCCCACATATAACAATCATAACAATCCTGTGAAGGTATTGCTATATCCACTTTAATAATAATAATAATTAGTAGTAGTAAGTAGTCAACAGTAATAGCTCTTTTAAGTTTTGCAAAGCACTTTACAAATATTATATATCATTTTATCCTCCCAACAACCATGGGATGTGGGTGCTATTATTACCTCATTTTTCAGAGGGGGAAACTGAGCCAGATTTTACAAGAGAGGAAACCGAGTCTCAGGGACATTAGAAACCTCAAAAATGTCCCTGTTGTTCCACCATCAACTTTATTATTTCCAACTTATCCTATATATATAGCTTGTTTGTACATAGTTGTTTGCACAATGTCTCTCTCCCATTGGACTGTGAGCTCACTGAGAGCAAGGACTGCCTACCTTTTGCTTTTCTTTCTACCTCCAGCGCTTAGCACCATTACTTGGACATAGCAGGCGCTTAATAAACAATTTATTTAATTTAAAATTAACAAATAAAATTAATTTAATTTAGTAAACACTGACAAAAGGAAATGCTTCTGGCATGGATGTTCAGAGGAGCAAGGCCTCTGGAGGAGCTTCCCCCCCGTTTTTTTTTTCAGGGAGGGAGGAGGCAAGTCCTAGGGTAAGTGGGGCCGAGGTCATCGTCACTCACAAATCTCCTCCAGACGGAGTCACTCTGCGCGAAGTTATCCCAGAAGGCCAACCACGTCTTCTGCGGCGGCAGTACGGGCTCCCGGGGGCTCAGCTCCTGGTCCTTCAGCCACTGTCTCCTCAGGGCGCGCAGCTGCTCCAGCCGCAGCTTCTCGTCTGGCGTGAACCCCGACATGCCCTCGACCTCGCCGCCCAGAACAAACGGGATCGAGCCGCGGAGATCCCGCTTAGCGACCAAGCGACCTTGCCGGGACAGTGCGCAGCGGCGCTGGCGCCCGGTGATGACGTAGGCAACTGCTGTCCAGGCGTGTTCCAACGATCTGCGGCTGTGGGGCAATGAGGAGTGGAGTGGGAGGAGAACGAAGGCTGCGAAAGGCGCAGTGGGGAACGTCGAGAGGATCTGCGCACGCGCATGCGTGTTTCCTTCTCACAGATGGCTTGGCGCCTCCTGGTGTTCAGAATGGCAGTGAAAGAATTAAAGTGGCTCCTGCTTTTGCTTGAATATCCATCCCTAGGAGCTTAGAATGCAAGTGTGTAATTCAGACTTAGCAGGCGTGTTTAGACTTTGGAAGCTGAAAGTCATAAAGCACTGACTCACTTCCATCCTTCTTGTAGTGAATTCACCATTCATAGAAGCAAGTTGCAATATAATTGTCTCTTCTGCCACTTCCATGATTTGAAATGTTATTGGCCAAACTTTAATCAGGCATCCCCTATGTGAGTGTAAGGCACTGTGGGAGGTGCTGGGAATGCAAAGACAAAATGAAACAATTCCTGCCCTCTATTGCATACATTAATACATTTTTTAAAGTTTTGTGACATACAAGGTTAACTTTTTTTTTCTATTTTTGCAAAAATATAATGTTTTACCAATCAGTCTGGGAGAGACTGTATGATGTAAAGAACACTGCATTTTAAGACAGAAGTTGTGGGGTTGAAAATTAGGTTCTGTTATTTATGACCACTGTGACATTAGGCAAGTCACTTAATCTGTCTGGGCTTCAGTTTCCTTATCTGTAAAAGTATCTGGTTTAATTAAATATGGTTCCTTCCATTCTGGTTTCATATCACATGTAAATCCTATTGGCAGGATTCATTCACTCAACAACCAATTTATTAGAGGCTATGTTGTTAGTTGCCTTCTTTCAAAATTACCAACTATCTTAATTCTCAAATCCAATGTTTTTTTCTGTTCTCATACTTCTTGACCTCATCCTTGCTACATCTGAAATTGTTGACCACCTCCAAGATACTCTCTTTTCTGGGTTTTCATGACACTGTTCTCTCCTAGTTCTTCTTCTACCAGTCTAACAGCTCTTTCTTACTCTCTTTTGAAGGTTCACCATCCAGTTAGGTTTCTAACTGTGGGTGTTTCTCAGGGCTCTGTCCAGGGTCCTGTTATCTTTTCTTTCTGTACTCTCTGATTTAGTGACATCTTTAGCTCCCATGATTGATTATCTCTGTCCTGGTGATAGCTAGCTCTAGACTCTTTCCTCACATTCAGTAGGCATCACTTACTGGTTATTGGACATTTCACATTAGACCCCTCTTCTCCCTAGACTTCCATAATGTTTTTAGGAAAACTTAGTATCACAGTGATCCCTCACTTAGGAAGATGTTGAATCCATTAAACTGCCCTCAAGAAGAGAATGAGAGGGGGGGAGGGTAAAATTATGTGAGGCTATTTACCTCTAAATAGAACATCCTGCTTTTATTAAGCTCCCTATGGTCCAGATTCTCGTATCTTAATCTTTCTCTATGACTGGGGAGTTTGTAAGAATTATTTTTTTTAGCCAAAGACAAGGTTTATTAGAACATCCGTCATATAGGGCAGGCTCTTAAGGAGTCTGAACGTTAGAGAGTTATTGACTAGATTATAAGAATCTGAGCAGTGGCTAGATTTTAAGAATCTGAGCACCTTAATGGAGACAAAATGATACAGAAAGACTGTGGGAGAAATCTGTAAGACAAATCTAAGTAGTCGGGGGGAGGGGAGGGACTGTGTGGTAATAGAATGCCAGGCACCTGGACTACTTGGCCAAGGAAGAATGGAGCCTAGCTAGGATTAAGGGCGGGAAGTGGCCAAGGGCCGTAGAGAGATAAGAACAATGGAGGGCCAAGCTAGGTTAAGGGTGACAGAGATTGGGCATAGTCACATTGAAAGGCCAGTTGATGGGATTATAGCCTCAGGTGAACACCAGAGATTTGGCCATGTGGGAAAGTCCAGGTCTTTTCCTTTTTGGGGTCTAGACCCATCCTCATCATTCCCCCCTCAAACAAATGGGATCCAAATTCTTTTGGGGTAAAGGGCTAAGGTATTGGCTTCTGAAACTGCTTCCTGCTGGCAAAGGGTGTAGAGCTGTCACTGCCTCGAGGGGGTCCCAAAGAGGAGGTTGACTGGAACCAAGCATAGGCTGTATCCAGGGAACAATGGGGGGACATTGGCTGGTGCCTGATGTTTGCTACCAATTGTAGGTAAATGGCCTGTAATCTGGAAGACACAAATCTGACAGAAAAGACTTCAGGGCCCAGATATGACAGGATAAAACATCCTTAGCTCTGTTTGGATTCAGTTTTCCAACCATGCAGTATAAAATCCACCTCATAGCCAGACTCAGGAATAGCCAGGTGGGTAACATTCCTTTTCAAAGGAACATAATGGGGAAACTGAGCCAGAAGGATCCCATCTTAGACTGAGGCTAAAATTGTCCTCTCAGTTTTTCCCAATGTTGACTTCCCACCAGCATCACATTCTCTCTGAGTAGCTTGTGGCATTTCTCTCAGATGGTGGATTGTTGATTATCAATGGATTATGATCCATCAGACAACTCAAAATAAAATCCCATGAGCTTTTTTACCTCAAACAGCAAGTTTCACTAATTACAGCTTAGGAAAAAATTTTCCAGGATTTAAATCTCAAATTTAAATTTGTCCTGGTGTAAAAAGCCAATCATTAGAGATTTCTACATGCAAATTCTCAGCAAATCAAAATGCAAACAAGCTTTTTGGCATGTTTACTCATAAACAATAACCAACGATAGCCAAATTATTTTAGCAGTAACCAAATTATGAAAAGTTGCTTGACATAACTGATACAAAAAGTTCACCAGTTTGAAACTTGAAACAAACTCATTACCAATCAGATGGCTTCAGTTTTGTTAAATGCATTTCCAAATTATTTTACACAGAGAATCAACATCTCATCAATAGTTAAAACTACAAATTTAAAAGAGCATGCTTACCCAACTTCAGAGGCCAGCGTCTTTACTTTGAGCAGGATATGCTGAACCTGGGTGATACTTCCAGGCAAAGGTTGCTCTAGGGCCAAAGGCCATTGCCAGGGGGGCCCACACTGTAGCTGCTGCCCCTCCCCCCTCCTTCCTTTCCTAGGTGGGGGAGGGCAAAATCAAAGGTGAGGGGTAAAGGGTGCAACTCTCTTCTCCTATGAGAGGGGTTAACAGATACCGTCTTTACTCAAGGGAATGGAGTAACCAGGGTTGTAAGGAGGTGTTTGAAAACTCCTTCATGATCAATCACAAAACCTCCAGAATCTGCCAAGATGTTTTTAGCTGTTCTAACTTTTCCCTGTAACCTCCATGAAGGAGGATTCAGGGGTGTAGAGGGAAGGGAGTAAGTAAACCTCAGGGAACCAAAAAGCAACTGCAGTTTTCCCCAGTTCCCTAGCACAGAGAGAATTGACAGAATTGGGCATACACTTACAGATAGGGTATCTGTCCTTGTCCTCCATGCTGTGGAAGGTGTACCCAGGTCCATGGCCTTGAACTGACTCAGTGGACAGAGAGCCTGAGAGCATCAAGCTGAGTTTGAGACAGCCTCATAACTGCCTGCCTGAAAAGCACCTCCAAAACCTTGGTTCTTGGAGAGTTACCCCAAATGCAGAGCAAGAAAGGGCAGGGGGCAGGCTTACATACCTTCCAGTCTTGGCTAGAGGAGAACTTGGGGGTAGGCAGTTTCCCCATATAGGCCACCAAAATGTTGAGGTTTAGGGGTGCTGGGACTCCAAAATCACAACATGTGGGTGCTGGCTGAAAGAATTCAACCCAACCCTTCTTTCAGTCAAAGACAAGGTTTATTAGAACATCTGTCATATTGGGCAGACTCTTAAGGAGTCTGAACATTAGTGAGCTATTGGCTAGATTATAAGAAACTGAGTCAGTTTGTAAGAATTATTAAAAAAAGAAAAACAAACCCACAAGACTATTTTCATTTGGATCAGCCCCTAATCAGGAGAAAAATGTGACATTTTAAAGCTAAATTCAAACCTGGCTCCTTTTCTTTTGTATCTCTGTAATCTCACACATTCGCTGGCCTCCCTCTTTTGTAGCTCCCCATTCCAAAATAAAGCATTACCCATATTAAGAGCAGTAGGATCATTCAGATTTTGCCCATAAATTAAAAAAAAAAAACAACTAATAAAATAGAAATTAGAAGAGAAAGTTTAAAGGACAGAATGAGCTTAGGAATCAACTTCTGCCTCTCTGGCAGAGAGTGAAAGGGAAAGAGGAGATTGTGATTTACAGTTTGATGACCTATTCCGCAGGATAGAGTGTCAATATGACCAGTAGTTCAAGACACCTTTCCTGTCTAGGAGATTGTTTGGTTGGTTGAAACTTGTCACATCAGATGTTAAATCTTAGTAAAGCCCCTCAGACATTCCTGAAATAAGAAGCCAAAAGGTAGGCAAGGCTTCCTAAAATAATTTGATTAGCTTTACTTATGGAAGGATCTCCACATACTCTGACTTTGTGGTTATCTTTCGGCATATAAATCTCCTCTCTCAATTAGCCTTTTGTAAATATAACCTTGAAGGGTAAATATCAGCAGACTAACCTTGAAAAATAATTCCCTTAAATTTATCTCTGTAAAATTTTGTTTCTTCTTCCCCTGGTTAATGTGTGAGATTCTGTCTTCCTTGTGAAGGCTACAAAACAAAAATTATTTCTCTGTCTCTCTGATGTAATTGGAAACTATTAGAACCCTAATTGGAGCTCAGAGTTATTTTTTCTGACCTCTGAACTTGTGTTTAAGCATGACAAAACCTAGGTTTTAGCTTCCATCATCTCTTTGTGGTGATAGTGTTATTAGGCAGCATTTACCTATCACAAGAAATCAGTAGGAATATTTTTACGTTAACACCAGGAGTATGCAGATAAATGTTTACCAACTGGCCTTCCAAAAAAAAATCCCAATGTTAACCCCATGGTGCAAAAGATCTAGGTCTGAATCCCAATTCAGTCACTTATTACCTGACAT